TATCTATCTATCTATCTATCTATCTATCTATCTATCTATACCTAATCCATCCATCCTATCCTGTCCATCTATATATCTATCCATCCATCCTATCTACCTACCTTCCTATCCTATCCTATCCTATCCTATCCTATCCTATCCTATCCTATCCTATCCTATCCTATCTGTCTGTCTGTCTATCTATCTATCTATCTATCACCCACTATCTAATTATCTATCTATCCATCTATCTGTATCTCTCTCCTCACTAATTGTCTGTTTACCTAGCCATCATCTGCCTGCCTGACTGCCCCCCATCCATCCATCCATCCATCCATCCATCCAAATCTATCTATCTATCTAATATATTTATTTATTGAGGGTTCCTTTCGTGAAAGCAAGATGTCTCCACTTCAAAGGTTTTTTTAACAACTGCCCAAACTGATTTTCTTAAACTCTAAGCCCGTTCTATACTTGACCATCGACTACCTTGAGGCCAACAGAAGAATGGCTACCACCTCCCTGAACTGGGAGCGATCAAAATGGAGGGACTGGTCTTCGCCCAACTTCAATGCCACCTGAGGGACAAAGGGCCCCCATAAAATCTGAGGACAAGTCCCTGGGCACCCAAGGGGTGGTTCCGTCCACCAGCTGTGACATTCCCTCCCCCAATTCTTTCCCGGTTTCCCTCCAGCCTTGTTTCCCCCTACCCGCAATTTTGGGGTCGTGGCAAAGAGGATATCAGCTGAGTGGGCCTTTCCTGTTTGTCTCGGGAATCTGTGGCGTCATTGATGGCGGTTGTATCGCAATTGTGAGTCGTCAGAAGCCATGCAGTTAAGGTGCGGCAGTGCATAAAGAGACCAGAGAAGGCACTAAGGGGGCAGCTGTTTGCCCAACGTTCCCCAGGAAAGAGGGGACGATAAAATGTAATTAAAATGAGTTTAAGAGACAGAGGTTGAGGAACAAGGAAGGGGTGATTTTTATATTAAAAAATAAATTTAACAATCCAACTTATTGTTGGCCTTCCTTCCCGTCCAATCCTTTCTGGACATTGGCCTCCAACCTTGGCAACTTTAAGACTTGTGGACTTCAACTCCCAGAATTCCTCAGCCAGCAAAGCTGGCTGAGGAATTCTGGGAATTGAAGTCCACAAGTCTTAAAGTTGCCAAGGTTGGACACCCCTGTTATAAAGGCTTTTCAATCTTCTGTTGCAGGACAGAGGAACTAGCTTTACCAGCTGTCAGTAAATAAGGCCAGCTTGCAAAAACCACCCCCCCAACTCAACCTCAGGTGCCGAGGGGACCCCAAAGAGGGCACCATTCCAGGTAGGGAATAAGGCCAAAAAAATAAATAAAAATAAGGCAGGGTGCAGAAGAGTTCTAGTGCTTACCTGTTCCTGTCATGGCTGGCATGTAAAAAATCTCTGTCCCGGGTTGTCCAACATCTGGAAGGAGGATCAAAGAGAAACCCTTTAGAGGAGACCACAGCTGAAGAAGTCCTACTACAATTTCAGAACGTCATTTTTTTTTTGGGGGGGGGGGGGAATATTGGTGCTACCTGTTCTGACCTAGGCTTCCTTAGAAAGCGTAAAACGCAATCTTAGTCCCAAGCAAAACCTCTTTTTATTTCCACAGCTGTGAATTACGTTCATTCCTAGCCTGCAAAGGCTTCACAAACAGTCTGTCAAGGGAATGTTGATAAACTCCCACCTTATCGCACTTGGAATGCTGCCAGAGAACGAACGGCCAAAGGCAGGGCAAGGCCAACCTTGACGGAGTCAAACAGAACTTTTCAAAGCTTGAACCGACCAGACGAACTAATTGCTTCCTGCAAAGGCTCACGTCCCGTTCGCTCCTCTTTTATTTCCCATGGGAGGGGCCAACCATCTCCGAGGTGTGGCCTTACTCCTAAGTCAACCCTGCTTTCTCAAGTGTTCTTGTCTTCTGCTAGCTCTGCGCATGCGCAGGCTGGGAACTGGTTCCAGAAACTTCCCTGCCTCACTGATGTCTGAATCTGAAGGTAGCTGATGACTGCCAGCCTGCCCTGGTATTCAGACCCAGGCTCCGTCAATCGTAATCAATCACAAACTTGTTTTAAAAGCAAAACCTATTTTATTGCAATGCTGGGAATTGTTTTCATTCCCAGGCAGAACTCATCCTATACAGTCCCCCAAGATAAGCACACACCTTTCCGTTCTGTGGAATGCTGCCAAAACCAGAAGTATCCAATTAACTATAAAAGAAACCAACCCAAGTACAAGAAAAAAAACCAACCAAAGTACGCAGAGCTTAAGGATGACTCAGAACCGATCGAACTACTTTGCTTCCTGCAAAGGTTTCATCACCTTTATCCCTTATGGGAGGGGCAATCACCTCCCAGCCTTACTTCCGAGTCACCCCTTTTGTTTCGCCTTCTAGTTCTGCGCACATGCGCACTGGGAACAGGCTCCCCTGGGTCCTCAGCCTCGCTGTTGCCAGACGAAGGCTCCAAAGGCAGCACCCCACGCCCAGATGGTCCTGGCCCCACATATCTGCATCAGATGCAGGATCCTCATCCAAGTCCTCTCCAGACTCCCTAACCGGTTTCCTTTCTTCCCCACTGTCCGATTCCACTTCCACCTGCACAGGCTGCTGGTGAACCACAACACCTGGCCCCATCCCTGCCTCCGATACAGAGCCCTCATCTGAGCCCCGCTTGGCCTCCAAGACTGGCCCAGGTTCCTCCTCTCTACTGTCCGATTCTGCGGCCAGTTCCGTCAGCTGCCGGCAGGCCACAACACTACCAAGATTTGGGGCTGAGAGAAGTCAGATGAGCTGTTTTTATTTCAAGACCACAGCCTGGTCAATCTTTCACGCAGACAGAAGAACTACAACGAGTTTTCAACTTACGACTGGTCATTTAGGGACCAAAGTCATGATGGACCTCCAGAAAGAGACTTACAACAGGTTCAAAAGTTCTGATGGACAGGGGCTCCCATGAGGCCAGGTGACCACAGGTTGGATGGTCAGCAACCAGCCTGCTTTTATGAACGTTTGCAGCATCCCGTGGTCACGTGACCAAAATTTAAGACAGTTTGGCCAAAAAGCTTCATGTACATCTTGGTTTTCAGGAAAACTGACCCAGGGTGAACAGTTCGTTGACTGAACAGGTGGCTGCCCAGATTAATTCTTCAGCATATCTTAATTTTATTATGATTTTTTTTCAAATAGGCCAGAGAGCTGAATATACATACATACACACTCACAGACACATATTCATACACATACATACACCCATGTACATGCACAGAGTATATGAAATAGATAGATAGATAGATAGATAGATAGATAGATAGATAGATAGATAGATAGATAGATAGATAGATAGAAACAGGGAGGGAAGGAAGGAAGGAAGGAAGGAAGGAAGGAAGGAAG